ACCCCAAATGGGATCACAAAGAATTGGGCACAACTGAACAAAAAAAATCTTCTTTTAAGAGACAATATAGTATAATGGATAAAGTTTTGGATGTGACATCAGGAAGACCTGAGTTTAAATCTCCTCTCCAATACTTAATAGCCATGAAACACTAGGCAGGTAAGTCACTTAACTTCATCAAGCCTTACTATATGAATGCTCACTATTATCTGCTTCTCTATTTATACATTATAGAAGGAAAACCATCACTTTTTACATTGCACATATAATTCCAGACCTGAATCAAGGACTCCTTAAATTAACTTTTGACCTTCTACTAGGAAAAAAAATGGTTCTTCACCTCTAAGTCTACGTGGTCTTCTTTTATATTCTCTGAGATAATTTTGAGCCTTAAAAAATGGGTCTGTATCCATTTCAGCTTGTAACACTTTGGTCAAGTTTCAGAAGCAGGATAATGAAGTGTGTGAATTAGCTCACTAAAGGCTCAGCATCAAGGAATAATGTTTTCCATAAATTCTAGGGCAGATTTCCCATGTCAGACTCATTTGACCCTTTGAAGTTGGGAATTTCAGACTTTTGTGTTTTGCGTCCCCAAAGAAAAGGTAGAATTTGTGAACCTTCCCTCACATGCCTTCTGCTCCTTCTCCCCAACCCCTACCAACCACTAAATAAACTTTCATGAGGTAGTTTTGATATTTTTAAATATGTTGACAGCTTATGAGCTGCTGCTTGGTGGGATGGGGTTTGGGGTATGATCTTTTTTGGTATGAAATTCACTCTAAATGGCCTGGATTTGGATGAATTAGCAGTACTGAATTTCCCATAGTAAAAAGTCATTTCCTAGAGGATACTTATTGTTTCTTTCTCAAATACATAGGGGAGGGTTATCTAGGTACTTTTTTTTAACGTATGTCTTCCCATGCTTCTCTGTATTCATCATATTGTTTCTTATACCATAGAAATATTACATTTATGTACCACAATCTGTTAAATAATTCCCCAATCAGCAGACATCTACTTTGTTCCCAGTTCTTTGCTACCAAAAAAGGAAAAGAAACTCTTCTAATGAATGGTCAATGGACAGACCACTCATTTTTCCTAGCCATCACATTGTCCCAGGAACCTCTGATGTCAGATTTCCTTTTTACCTGATTGTGTTTTTACCCTGCTTCCACATTATCCCTTTCAGCTTACCATCACCAGCTTTCATATTTCCTTGAGTATCAGCATTCCCATTCAACAGACAATTCAACTAAACAAACTTAAGTTTCTTAAGTGTCTGTTGTATAGAGAGCAGTGTAGGGGAAGTTGAGTTTAAACAGAGATCCCTGCCCTAATGGAGCTTGTGGCTTGGTAGGGGGATGTGTCATGAAGTGACTATGAATTAGATAAAATAGTCTAGGTTGATGGTGGAGCAGGAAGATAATTATTCACGAGGGTGATCCATGTCTCATAATCACTTTTATCAAATAGCTTTTTCCCTTAACTTTGGATGTATATGAAGAATTCAATGAAGCCTGGGAAGACTTGGGGGAGTGAAACAAGAATGAGGAATAGAATCTACACAATGACTACAATAATGTAAATAGAATAATGAATTTTTTTTAAACCACCATGTAAATATAATGTCCAAATTCGGACCAGGAAAGAGTTGAGAAAATGCACCCTGTCAGGGGCAGCAAGGTGGCACAGTGGATAGAGTACTGGCCCTGAAGTCAGGAGGACCTGAGTTCAAATCTTGCCTCAGACCAAATACTTGACACTTACTAGCTACGTGACCCTGGGCAAGTCACTTAGCTCCAATTGCCTAAAAAAGAAAATGCACCCTGTCCCCCTCTACTACAAGGGAGGGGGGAGGATATGGGGTATGTGGAATAGATGTGTTGTTTTTGCTAGGCTACTTTTCCCTTCTTTTCTAGGAATGGATGTGTTATATAAACAAAAGGAATTAAAAAAATGAAATAAAATTGAAAAAGAATAAGCCTGATTTGGGATGTCAGTGGAACGTTCAAGTAGAAATGCCCTTAGTCCAGCTGGAGATGTGCATGTCTAACCATGTCATTCCCTAACTCAAACTACAGTGGTTCCCTATCATCTATAGGATCAAATAGAAAATCCTTTGTCATTTAAAGCCCTTCATAACCTAGCCCCCTCCTACCTTTCCAGTCTTCTTATACCTTACTCCCAGCCACATATGCTTTCATGTAGTGACCCTGGCCTTCTTGCTGTTTCACCAAGAAGACACTCCACCTCTGAGCTCCAGGCATTTTCTCTGGTTGATCCCATAACTGGAATGTTTTCTCTCCTCAACTCCACCTACTGATTTCCCTGACTTCCTTTAAGTTCCAACTAAAATCTCATCTTTTACAGGAAGCCTTTCCCAACCCCTCAATTCCAGTGCCTTTACTCTATCAGTGATTTCCCATTTATCCTGTATTTAGCTTATTTGTATATATTTGTTTGCATGCTGTTTCCCCAATTAATTTATAAGCTCCTTGAAGGCAGGGACTGTCTTTTGCCTCTTTTTGTATCCCCAGTACATAGCACACTTGATAAATATTTGTTGATTGCCTGGAACTGGAACTCAGGTAAGTGGTCATACCTAGATAAATTTAGAAATCCTAGGGATAGAGATGATGGTTGATGCCTGGTAACTAAGTGATCTTGCTAAGGAAGACAGAGAGGGCTGAACCTTGGAGAATGCCCACATTAAGGGATAAAGAGGAGAAAAAGATGGAGAAGAGTTAATCAGTTAAAGAGGTTGATGAAAGCCAAGAGAAAGGAGGAGAGAATACTCCAGAAAAAGAGGGTAATCAGTCCTGTTGAATGCTCTTGAGAGGGTAAAGAGGGCAGGTATTAAAAAGGCCATTGGATTTCAATCCAGGCTTTTCCAGATTTTTCTGTGGTGTTAGGTGGGTGCGTTTTGTTTGAGCAACTTTAGGGGCTTGATTAACCACTCCAGTATCTAGATTTGTGAGCACCCAACTGAACTAAGGAATTTTAACTGTGAGGACATTTTATCTGTGTTACATACAGAGCTTTACAAAGGGAAGCCCCTATGGCCTCTTCCATAGTTCTGCAAAACTACTCCCACCAAACAGGAGCAGGAAATATAGCAAGACTTAGCTTTATATAACCTGTGGTTCCAGCTCAAAAGAGAGTAAGTTCAAACGTACTGGATCTCACTTTTTCCAGGTTTGGTGGGTAGGCATGGAGAAAGGCAGAGGAGAGTGGGGGTGATGGCGAAAGGAGAAATTGATGGCAAAGTGCAGTGTTTGACTTTCATAGGAGCCTAGGTTTAGAGCAGGGAAGAACCTCAGAGTCTAACCCCTTCATTTTACAGAAGAGAAAACTGAGGCTCTGGGAAGTTAAATGACTTGCTCAAAAGTCACACAGAAACTTAGCAACAGAGCCAAGGCTTGAACCAGGTCTGATATTAAATTCAATACTCTTGTTACTCCAGCACCAAGAGCTGTTCATAGCTGGGAAAGTCAGCTGCTCATCAATTACCAAAGGGCGGAGGCACAGTGCCATAGAATTAAATTACATTTCTATTCTCCCAGCCTCTGGACCTGTCAAATTCAGATGCCTAGGTAGCGAGTTCCTGCCATCCTACTTTTACCCTGTATGGAATATACGTGCTGAAGGCAAAGGGCAGAGGAAAAGGAGAAGTTAAAGCAGGTAATAGAGGCAGAATCTTGAACAAGTTTAAAAATTGTTAACATTTTATGAGGTACCCATGATATGTGTTGCCATGTTAGAATACAAATACAATTACTCCTTTTATCAGTCATATACTTTGCTGGGATAGGGCTCATTTACTACAGGAGTGTCAAAATAGAATACCAACAGCACCCCCTAAAATTTCTGGCTATTTCTGATACAGTATTTGCCATAGAAAGAGGGGTCAGTCTCTTTTTGTCTTTGGGGAGCAAATGAGATGGAGGCAGGATGGCTGTGCACTTAAGAGTAGGTTTGGAGTTTCTGAACTACCTGAGGAAAAGGGTCACTATCAGAGAGGGTCTGTCACTGACTATGGGAAACCATCAAACCTTGTGTTTTTACTCTGTGTCACAGCCATCATTTTGTTCATCTGGGCTAGATCACCCTTTCTCCCCCAACCTAAGACATCTACTCTACCTGGGGAAAGTTGGAAGATTTCTCTTCTTTGGTAAGCTAGGACCCTCATCAGAACACGGCAGAAGAATATTACCACATAAAAGTATAACTATGATGTGTGCACATGATGATATTCAATAAGTTATTGCAGGTATCAATATATTACACCCTCTACCTCTGTCCCTAATTTTGTCTATCAGTCATGAAGTACCTCAAGATGACATTCTCAGAAGCCTGGAAGAGTTTTTAAGGAGAAGGAAGAGAATTGGGTTGTCACATGTGAAGTAGGATGTGGCTCTAGCATATGAGTTCTAAGCAAGATAGAAGGGAACAAAATGGATGAAAAGGAAAGATTTCTTGACACATTAGGTCCTGAGTTTTCAGGAGAAGACTATGACAATGAAACAGGAAGAGTTGAAAGACAATGGGACCATGGAAAAATATTAGAAAGCCCATGGGTTATCTTTTAGAGGTTTAGTTGGGAGTATCTTCACATTGTGAACCTCTCCCCCACCCCAAATTGTTGTGCAGAATCCTAATTGTGCTAAGATGACAATTATGGTGTTTATAAACACAATCAATTAGATGAAAAGATACCAGCTGTGCAGATCCTGCTTGAATACAATACTATACCTATGAATATAGAATATGTGCAGATATGGCATCTGGAAATGGTAACCACAGAATGTTTTAGACAGTACATATTTTATAAAACACAAGGAAAGAATGGAAGTATAGAGAAAAAAAAACTTGTGACTGGACTACCCTTTTCCATTAGTATCTAAAATTTGAAATGACAATGGATCTTAGCAATCGATTTTGAAGCCTGTGGAAAAAGAAACGGTCTATTTTGCACTCACAAAAGGATATTTAGGCCTCTAGGTGATTAATTTATTTTTTACTTTATTCCTGAAGTTACCAAGTTGTATAAGTAGAACTGGAAATTATTCATTTTAATCAGACAGCTCCAGGGAATCAATGCCATTGGTTTTTTTTTCCTGCCATTTGTCTTTTTTTTTTTTTATGTTGACAGTAGTTGAGAAGGCAACACACAAGGAAAATGTTATTGTTTTTAAAAATGCTATTGGACCAGTGCATGTTGAAATAAAAACAATCAAATAATAGACATATTAGGTATTTACATGGTAATATAAGTGAAAGGTTACAAGCATGAGGCTTTTTTTTTGTCATCCAAGGCTAATAATAGAAAAGTTTAGTAAACAAAAATATGTCTTTTTGAACCTCACACCACAGACAGTATGTATAGTAATTCCTTAGCGCCTTAGCTGCTGGCTATAAATAGTCACATACAAATCTCTAATTACTTAGAAATCATAGTATGAATCATGAAAAACAAATCAATCCATTAAGGCATATACTACAATGCATTTGGTAATAAAAATGCCCCTCCAATCACTGGAAGCAGCTAAAGAATTAGTCTTTCCATTTTCCTTTCCATAATGCCTTAACTGCATAGCTAGAGAAAGTTCTTGTAGACACCATAATCTTACTGCTGTTTCTAATGCCCAAATAATCAAAGGTTATCGAAAATTTCCATACATTGGGAATTATGGTTTGTTACCAGAACATAGATCTTCTTTAAAATATAACACTGACATTAAAATGAAAAATCTTGGTCCCTTTCCACTGAAGAAAAGGCTAGTGGTGAACTGTACCTGCAGCAGGATATTTGTGGGACTAGGTTTCATGGGGGGGAGTGTATGTTTCTCAGTCACTGACTTCACATGGTACATGGTTAGTTGATGACATTTCCCCATCTTTTTTAAATGAGTGCAAATCTATGGAAAATACAAAGAATTCCTGCAGTGTGTAACCATTGATAGTGACTTTATAAATGAGTACATTTGGCTTGAAAACACTTGTGTCACAATTTGCCGATATGGATCACATTTTAAAGTGATTATCGCATTTCCACCTTAGAAATGCAGGGTCAGAGTGTATATTTTTTAATTGGGATCTATTCTTTGCCTTCTAAGTTTGGATTCAGATGGTAGCTTAGACAGATAAGGTTACCAGCAGATGAGCAGTTTATCCTCTGAGCCAGTCACTCCCCAGTTATTCTTTTCAATTCTGTTCCATCAGTTGAGAAACAGGGTATCTCTTTCTGTGTATAGTACACAGAATCTTCCTGAGTTATTTCAGCCTTTAGGAACCAGGCGCAGTGGCTAATCCAGGCACAACGAAATAACTTGTGCAACCAGTTTTTGGGGTGTGTGTGTGTGTGTGTGTGTGTGTGTGCGTGTGCGTGTGTGTGTTTAATGTGACATCTGTCTATGCCAATTGGAGAAAAAAAAGTATCTCTTTGTTCTAAGGCTGTTGTTGATATTGCACTTCTGTTGCTGTGTAGAAGTCACCCAGCACACTCTGTAAATAATCAAAAGTTGGCCTTTCTTCTGCTTTCTCCTTCCAGCACATTTTCATGATGTCATAGAGCTCTTCTGGACAGTTTTCCATGCGTGGCATCCTGTATCCCTGCCCCAGAGCCACCATCACATCAGCATTAGTCCTCCCTGAGGCAAACAAAACACACCGTTCAGAAAACCAGCCTGAGTATGTCTGCTCTCAAGTAGGGCAGTGTTCTCCTGCTACCCACATCCTGCAGCCATTAACATAAGCAAGTTTCAGAGGCTAAGGACACTGCTCTGACAGACTAAAAATATACATTTTCACTCTTGAGTTTCCAAGGTAGTATTTAGCCTGCCAAATAATTCAGAATGAGGCATCAGGGAAGTAAGACAGTGTGTGCCCCAAGAGCCAGCAAAGTTTGTAGAAAGCAAGTCTTTTTGCTCAGTCTCATCCAATTTCCTTCAATGATTTGAGCTGGAGTTCATCTATCTGGGGCATTTGTTCTCTTTTTTTAAGCCCACCCATCCATTCCCAGCTGTCAAAACTCTTCTCCTAGTTTTCTCAATTCTCTTGTTCCTTCTATCCTTTTTATTTACACTCTTAGGTTCTATCTACATGATCCAAATCAAATCAAAGTTTGTAAAATTGCCCAGAAAAGTGGGAGGTGGGTTACCCAGTCAAACCAATCTGAGTCATTCAAACAAAAGTGAGTTCTTTTGATTGCTAGGATGAGGCCCAACTTACCAAATGCCATGACAAGGATGCTGAATTCAGCATCAGAGGACCTGGATTCAAATCTTGGCTGTGTTGTTTACGACTTGTGTGACCTCAGGTAAACCACTTAACAACTCTGCTAAGTTTGGGCCTCTGGGCCTCAATTTGTTCATCTGTGTAATGAGGGCAGTTTCTAGCTCTAAATTTATGATCCTGTGATTTGTTTTCAAAGGCACAGACTCTGATGATCTGGGTGAGATCAATTGTCTATACATAACACATTTCTGTAAACTCATTGAGTCATCTTTTTTTTTGTTTTGTTTTTAGGCAATTGGGGTTAAGTGACTTGCCCAGGGTCACACAGCTAGTAAGTGTCAAGTGTTTGGTCCGAGGCCAGATTTGAACTCAGGTCCTCCTGACTTCAGGGCCAGTGCTCTATCCACTGTGCCACCCAGCTGCCCCTTTGAGTCATCTTTTAACAGAGAAAAATGTCTGGGGATAGAGGGAAGTGACCTTCAACCACATCCCATTATCTAAACTCAGCCTTTTTCTTTTTTTCTTTTAAATAGTATTTTATTTCTTCCAATTACATGTAAAGACAATTTTTAACATTAATTTTAAAAAATTTTGAGTTCTTAGTTCCAAAATTTCTCCTTTCCTTTCCCCCCCTCCCTAAAACTGTAAGTAATTTGATATAGGTTATATATGTTCATCCTTTTTTCAAATTCAAAAACTTCACACTCTATCTGGAATGTCTATTACTTGAATTTGGTGGTAAATGACATAGCATGACAAAGAAAGTTTCTCCATTACTAGAGCTATGAGAATTTAGGAAGGATGGTTGAATCTCTCGGGCTAACTGAAAAGCCTGATTGGTTGGCTTTTGAGAATGAGATGACTCTTTACACTTTGAGGATTTGGTTCAGTTTTTCCGGAAGGACATAAGAGAAATAAAGGTGCTAAAGGTCAGTAAGTGAAGCGTGCTTAACAAAGTAATTCAACAAACACTTATTAGAGGCCTACTGTGTGCAAGGCATTGTGCTAGGTAGGCATCAGGACTACAAAGAAAAGGAAACAGTCCTTGCCTTTGAGTTTACATTTTATTGAATATATCAGATGGATCAAGCAGGCTTGAATTTAATAAATATTTATTAAGAACCAACTATGAGTAAGACAATGGTCTAGGCATTGCAATGAACTATCCTAGTGGTTTTCCTCACAAATGCTAGACATCTGACATAAATTGAATTTTTTTTAAGAAAAGTCTATACAGCAGCAATGGATTATTCCATAATTCATATTCTGACTCAGTTGTAGTTTACAAAGCACTATAGTAAAAGTATTATCAATTCCATTTTACAGATGAGGAAACTGAGGCTATATAATGTTAAGTGGCTCACCTAGGGATACATGGCTATAAAATGTCAGAGCTGGGGACCAACCCAGGTTTCCTGACTATAAATCCAGAGCAATTTCTAGCAAATTATATCATACTCTAATAATTTGAAAATCTTAATATTAGTCAATGAGGAACTGAGAAAATGGTCATGGCTCTTATACAGATTCCATATATGGAGATATGGCTATGTATTCCTGGTATACATTTCTTTGATTTACTCTAAAACACATGTATATATATATATATATACACACACACATATATATGTATATGTATATGTATGTATATATATATACACACATGTGTATGTATATACACATATACGTTTTTACTTATATATTATACATAAGTTATATATACATATACATATATACATCTATATCTATCTATATTTGGTAAACCTCTTAAGAAGTAATGGGCTTCTAACTCTTTTCTCTTCCTACTGTCTCTTGCCTTTCTAAGTTAAGTTTCATGCAGGTGACAAACAAATCTTCCTACTGCACAGATCTGACCATGTTCTGTTAAAACAAAACAAAACAATTGCAATCACTGCCTTTTCCTAATAGGAAAAGGCAGTGACTGACATTTTCCTTAATCTGACATTGAAGGTCCTTTGCAATTTGGCATCATTTTACTTTTCCAGTTCCCTCCCCCCAACAGACACATATTTTGTGCCTCTATGCATTTTATATTCCAGCCAAACTGGACTACCAGCTGTTTCCCAGTCTTGTTCTCCTCTCTCATGCCTCCATATATTTGCTTAGGTCACCTGCACATGCCTAGAATTCATTCTCATCTCCCTGCTCACCCTCTCTTCCTTCAGAGGCCCAGCTGAGATATCATCTCTTCCATGAAGCCTTCCCTGAACCTCTCCACTTCACTGAAAGTTATTTCTCTCTCCTGGAAACCCATTTGTCTGGATCATTTTTTTTGTCCTAATCACATCTTGCCCTTACTAAATTGTAAATCCCTCGAGGGCAAGGATTGTGTCATTTTTTCCTCCTTATATCTAACACAATGCCTTGCATATAGTCAACTCAATAAATATTGGTTTAATTGGAAAAAAAGATGTTCAAATTATCTCACTAAGGAAATCAATCAAACAAAAGGGAGAGGGATTTATAATTTGAAAGCTATTAAAGTGAAAAACAAAAACTTGGTATTTATATTTTTTTCCATGTGTGCAGTACTTTATAAGAACAGTCTGTAGCTATAAAAAAACTGCTAGGACTTTTTCAGCTTCACTGACAATGAGCTTTCAAAGCCTCTCCTGGCTCTGTTTACTACCTTTGCTTCATTATTCAGATGCATTTGACCTGTTATGTTTCTTGTTTTTAGTAAGCAATCCACCACCTACTTCCAGTGTCGGTGTTTGGCTCTTTGCTGGCTTCTATCCCATTTTAGCTGCTTTTTAAAAAAATGTATGTGTGTAGTTTGTTTTTTTAAACTACGTATTGTGTTGATGATGCATTTTTTTTCAGTATGAGCCATGTGAAATGTTGACTTAGAGCAAAAGCTTCTGGGGGTAAAGGCAGGAACTACGTGTTATGTCAGAATCATGTTAGAATGTTAGAGCTGGAAAGCACCTTTCAGATAATCTCAGCCAAATGCTTTTAGTATATACTCTGTGTGGCAATCATCAGGTGGTGACAGCTCAATTAACTAAGACTATCCCTTATTTCTTCCACAGATTTACCATTAGAGGTTCTTGGGTAAACTTTAAAAGAAAGATATAGGGAGGGAAGTGTTTGCATAGTTCCCCCCCAACCTAATACAGAATGTCATTAGGAATGTATGCACTCAAGCTAACTTCCTCGGGTTACAACAATTGGCATCAATTCTGAGACATAGGAGACATTGGCACAGAATTGCCCAGCATGGCATGCATGCATCAAAAAAGGTGCTGCATTCTATGAGCAAAGCAGAATTGCAGTAGCTCAAAAGAAGTGTGAGATGAGCAAATTTAGAGACATCTCCACCCCAAATGTTCACATGGACTATTTGTACCTAACTTGTGTTAGAGCCTTCCAAGTCCACATTAGTCTGATCAGCCACAGTCGGTCACACTGTACGTTGACCCCGATACCATGAGGTCATTTTAATCCTCTTCAATTACTCAGGGAAGAAACCCCTGAGGGAGACTATAGACAACTGTCCGGACAAGCTAACTATTATGATCTAAGTGACACTTTGAATAAGTGTTCTAGATCTTGATAGCAGTTCTAGATCTTGAGAGCAGTTCTGATGGTGAAACATTTTTGCTCACTCTTACCTCAGAAGTATAATTTCTGAATATTTACAGGATAGGAATTGACTAAATGGAAAGCTTCATACAAATGTCAACGTAACGCCTGAAGCTCGGGGAGAAATGTGCATAAATTTCTTTATTTGGAGCTTCTATTCACCACAGAAGAGCTGTGGTATTTCCAAGGCTCATGCCCTATGTGAACCTTTGTATCTAGCCTGATTCACTTGGACCAGCTTCAGAAAGAAGAAATGCTTTTACTTCTGTTAAGTTGTAGGTTTCCTGCTGTGGAGATCTAATTTTCAGTGTAATATATGTATAACAATTGCAGATTTGATTGAAGATTTCACTTCCCCTTCCTTTCTAAGGTGTCCCAAGTTAAGTAAATAAGGTCACAAGGTTCCCATGGAAGCTACTTCCTCCTAAGGGTTTTCTGTTCTCATCCCCACTCCCAGCTCTTTTTCTCATCATTCAGATGTGTCCTCCTACATCCATTTTTTTTGAAGTTATTTTTTTTTTGGCAGTGAAGCAGCAGCTTCTGAGTACCCAGACAGAGTAAAACACAGCTGGGGAGCAGCTAAAGATCTGACACGCTGCCACTGGCTGGTTTACCACATGGAAGGAAAGGAATAATCTGGCTGATACAGTGAAAAGAGCAGTTAACTCTGGGGTTATAAGATCTAGATTCAAATGTTACCACATATGCTTACTATAGTCATGAATGGGTTGGACTGGATGGCTTCTGAGATTCCTTGCAACTCAAGGCAGTGAGGTGGCACAGTGAGCAAGAAGGCTGAATTTAGAGGTAGGAAGACAGTTCAAATCTCACCTCATATACCAGCTGTGTGACTCTAGGTAAGTCATTTAACCTCCTTCAGCCTCAGTTTCCTCATCTGTAAAGTGGGAATACCTACCTCACAGAGTTGTTGTAAGGATCAAATAAGATAATATAGGTACAGGGCTTTGTTTTGTTTGCTTTGCAAACAAAGTGCTAAATAAAGGCTAGCCATTATTAAATTTATTGTCCTACATGTGCTTTCCACATAAGCCAGGTAAGCATGGAGAAACATGGGATACAGAGAGACGAGAAAGAGGAAGAGAAGGAGGAGGAACAGGAGGAAGAGGAAGAAGATCATGGTGGTGATGGCAACAGACTAAGGACAGAAGAATGTAGAGACAAAATAAAAAGCAGTCCCTCAGACTGAGAAGTTAGACAGACGGGCTCCTGTGCTCAGTAATCCTGAAAGCATTCATGTGAGCCACCTTTGCTCCAAGTGCATTTTTGCAAACGGTTCTGTGAACCTCACTAGAGCAGTGCTATATCATGTCATTGCAAAAAAAGACTTTAAAAGAAGGGAGATCTCTCATACAGGAACTATTCAGGACTTCCAATTCCATCATAATATTAAAGATACCACTTTTAATTGTGCCTGGGATGTTGTTCAAAGTAAATATACGAAGGAAAATTTGGAGGAAAAGGTAGTCTGGTGTCATGTTGGCAGAAATATTATCGTTTTCTTCTGATGAAGAATTCGGAGCCTTTGGAATAAGAACTTTTCCCTTTGGAGAATGCTTTGGCATCCCTGCACTGATTCTAGAAATGAATCACTGATCTAGAGACCTCAATGTTCTTCTAGTCCAATCCCCTCATTTTACAGATGAAGAAAATTAGGTCTAGGAAGGCTCAGGGACTTGACCAAGGTCACACAGTTGTGTCAGCAGTGGAATTTCAACCCAATCCTTTCACTCCAGAGTTAGTGCTTTTTCAACTGTACTTTACTCCTTTGTACCCCATGTACAAAAATGTGAGTGAGATAGAACACTGGATGAAAGTTGACAAGGAAGTGCCTATCTGGGCCATTGTTGCTGTGATGCAGAAATCACTGATCATGTTTTGAATGGTACTGGCAAATTAAAGAACCCAGAGAGCAAGAATAAAGAAGCAGGACATTTCTAAAAGCCAAAGGAGATTTGGCCTTTGACTTGCTAAACAGTCTTGTAGAAATAGAGCCATATTCTGTTGCCCAAGAGATTAGAAAGCTGATTTTTCTCTTCCCTTAATGAAAAAAGGCAAGTGAGCAAAAATCAATGTGATGTGGAAAAACTCTTAAAAAAAAATCAGGTTTCAAGACTGCTGCTAACATCAGTGTCCCTTCAGCCCTCTTCCATCTATGTGTACATATTACAATAAGATGATAACTCCAAATAATAGATCAAAGGTTAAATTATACTCAACATTCTCTGCTTAAAAGGCAAGGGAAATCTATAGCTAATTTTAGAAAGCATTCCAACACAAATAAGTTATAAAATTCTAACTCTTAAAGAGTTACCCTTTAGCTAATTAGAAAAAACTTGGTATCTAGAACTCAATCTTTCCCAAGTTCTACATAATTGCATCTTAGTGTATGATTTGTGTTGCTACAATTCCAAGCCCTTATTTATCTTTAGCAGAATGGGAAGGCTGCTGGTAGTCACAGAATCTCAGAGTTGGAAGGGTCCTCAAAGGCCACTCAGTCCAACCTGTGCCTGAAAAAGAATTCTCTTCATAATATACTGGTCTCCAACATAATCTTCTACTTCTGTTCTACTGCTTGTTGTAGTTTCTTTTCCTTTCCCACACATGCCAGGAAGCAAAACAACATATCAAAGAATGAACACAACTGAGTGGATAACAAACAAGCTTATAGTACCTGGATAGGGAATTTTCCCGTAGGTTACAATTTCATATAGGAGAATTCCAAAGGACCATACATCTGATTTAATAGTAAAGTATCCGAAGTTTATTGCCTCTGGAGCTGTCCACTTAATAGGGAATTTTGCACCTATGAAACAAGACATGTTTAGTTATGAGCAACTGGAAAAAAATGTTAGCATATACCTGGGAAATAATACTTGTTTTAAAATGTTTGTATTTGTAAAGATAAATACCTTAAAAGTGTAAACCACTAGAGACATTAGCTCCCTCAAACTCTCACAAAAAAAAAGGCTGTCCAATTCTTGTACTTTATAAGTGGGAAAATAGATTTAGTTGTGTATTTGTTAAGGATTGTAATTCTCAGCAAATCTGAGGGTTTCCATTGCCACAAATGATTTCTAAATAAAGAATAAAAACTGAAGTGTCATGAGGGATGAGGTCTTTATATCCACAAACATCAAAGGAGAGAGTCAGTGTTAGTTTGGGAAGAGCTGCGAATGTCTTTCTGCTGTCAGCAAATCAAAGGATTTAGGCTTGAACTGTGACTTTGAACGCTTAGGAAACATTGAAGATGACAGAGTTTTCAGTAAGGATATTTTGCAGAGAGCTGAGCCTTCAACATGACTTTACTTTGGTATTCTGTGTGGTGCCAAATCAAAATTCCAAGCAAAGAGAGCACTCTTATTTATATGACACATCTCAATGAAGTATGAAAGAATGAAATGAAACTTGAAAGACAGTGAAAGAATCCAAGGCTCTTTCAAAGGGCAATCTTTAGTTCACCAGCCCAACTTCAGCTACTGTTTGTACTAGTCCCACCTTCCAAACTTGATTAAGTGTAAGGGTGGAGCTAGAGAAACTACTTAAGATGACTAGGCCTCTAGAGGCAGAGAGTGATATTTAAACATAACAGAAGCAGATATAGAACAAATTGCAACCATATTTTGAAGTTATTTCTTTATCAACTCTCTAAGTGGGGCCAATTCTTCCAAATGGCATCAGAAACAAATACATATGGCATACTCTTTTAAATTATAAGAGAAACAATCTGAGCCAACTCAGATGCTGTCAAATTAATCCTTGTCCCTTTAGAACAAGAAAAGGTAATAAAAAAATTAATCCTTATATTGTTCAAGAGGGAGAATGCCAGAATCCAAAGTATCACCAAAAACTACTTGTTAAAATGATAGTAATTTTGTCCTAAACCTCACCTACATCCTTCTTTTTTTTTTAAACCTATATCTTTATTGATGACAATGAATAGATAGCCCTCAAAAACAGTACTGGGCATGATGTGCAAACAAAGAATTGCTCAAGTTTTTTGTTGTCATTTTTTTAATCTGCTGGAAATCCATTTCTACTCCTTGATCTTTAATGAGTTAATATGCAATATCTGAACCAGGTTATGAAATCAGGTTAATTTGCAACATTATTCTGAATTAAGTGAGCATTATGGTGACAACTTTACATTTTCATTTCTAATATAAAAGACTGGTTTAAATTATGTTTTTGGAGATAGACTTAATGTTACTAACATTTCTTGTGTGGGTAAGAAAAGACTACTTTGCTTTCTAATTAAGCAAAAGCTTCCACATATAATGCCAAAAAAAAAAAACCCCAAATCAAATTTTATTTTGTAAAAACCATTTTTGTCAGTTTGTTTAATTAGAGTGCAAATTGTAGTTCACATTAAGTTTCTAGTTAAAATCATCCAGAGTCAATCAAGATGGCAATTAAAAAAGCAACTTAGGAATGACTTATCAGAATGGCAAATTAAATGAATGATTGTGGTACATTAATATTCTATAAACCAAGTCTTTTCTTTTCAAAGACATCAGCCACCTCATAAATAATCTATACATGACACAAACCTGGAAATCATCACCATACCTTCTCTTGCTGTATATTCATTATCTTCAATTATCCGAGCAAGGCCAAAATCAGCAATTTTGCACATCAGTGAATCTGAAACAAGAACATTAGCTGCTCTCAGGTCTCGATGGATGTAATTCTTCCTCTCAATGTATGCCATTCCTTCTGATATCTGTAATGAGAAGAAGAGCTCTCATTTTCTGTCCTTAGCCAATTATACAAGACCAGCAGGAGGAAAAACAGCCCCAGCCATTTCAATACCAGAATTTTATTATTGATAGATAAACCAATATTGCTGTTTTAAGGTCTTTTGGAAATACCATACTCTCCAACATTTTAATGAAGATAAATACTTTTCCTCTTAATGGTAATATTGCATTTTAATTGCTTCAAAGAGTTTCCAAAAACAAATGACAACCTTCAAGCTATCTCTTCAAAGACATTGATACTACTGTTCCATTTCATAAATGAGACAGCAGAGGCAGAGATGGTATGTGAATAACCAGAAGTAATAAATTAATGGACAAAGGACTAAAATAAGTCTATCTAAAGCACCATTTACTTAATACTATGGGTTTTTTAAATTAGATTAGTCAACAACACCAGCATTGTCTTTTAACAGCTTTTACAGCTCCCGTTTTGAATAGAATTTTAGTGTGACGGAGAATGGAAGCAGACTTATTACAAATTTACATGTTGACAACAACAATAATATAAAAGAACAAATTTCCAAAACCTCAGGACTGATCAAAGCAAGGAGCACTAGCAACTTCAAAAGGCATATGGTGAAACAAATCTCCCAGTTCTTGAGAGGTAATGAACATGAGAAATGCATTCTCAGACATGGTTTACACATTGATTTATTTTGCTAGGTTATATGTATTTTTTACAAGGAAGGGGTGAAAAAGGATGTTGTGGGTAGAATGTTACTGTGTGGTAAGAGATAGCTTTAAAAGAGCATCAATAAAGTATTTTTAAATCCAAAAAAGAAAACAATTAAATAGAACAATTTTCCTACTACCCTATTAAATTATATACATATATAATTTCTTTTTAAAAATGAGCATAGTTTGAAGTTTCTTACACAAACTTCTTATAGTTCTTTTTTTAAGTGTATATTGAAATGTATGTGTTGAGGATTAAGTTCCCAAAACAAAATTACAAAAAAAAGAGAAAATTTGCTACATTTCCAAAATACGATTTCCAAGAACAACACTACCAATTCAAAAGTTAAGGAAAATCCTTACTCTAAGCCTTTGAAGAATGTGTTGAACTCACCAAGAGGCAAACTATCAGATTAGTTGGCTTACCATAATTTGATTCAATAAAACACTTTTTAAGAGAGTACTACAGTATATAGTTTAGTAGTTCATGATGTTCTCTGAATTGCCTTTTTTGAGTATTAATCAGATCCATGATTTAAAAAAAATCCCAATCTACTAAATGCTAGGCACTGAGAATGCAAGTTTGAAAAGACACAATCCTTACATTCCAAGTGTGTACATGGAAAGAAGATTGATTCAATATGTATAGAAATAAATAAAATACAGGGTAAGAGAGATATCCCAAGTATTATAAGAAAAACTGAGGAGGGAGAAAGATCACTTTTAGCAAAAGAATGGGGAGTGCGGATAGAGATGGAAATGATACCTAATCTTGAAAGAAAAGTTTCAGATGATTACTTTGTCTGTAGATGCTACTTTCTGGGCTACTTCATCCTAATTAAATGTATCTAAATGTCATATCTTAATACATAATACACAAAGTAACTATTTAACTACTAACTATGTAACTTATGAGTTTATTTTTGAATAGTTCCATGGAAATTGTAGTTCCTGTCTAAATTACCTTGCATTGTACATCTAAGAACAAATGCCAAAAATGACATCATTATATAGAACCAGAGGGCTCACCTGTGCCTGGCACCTGCAGCAACTCTTAACCTAGCAGAGTTTCATGACCTCACCTCAGATCACTGACCATTTCTCATAAAGTTAAAAAGATTCCAAACAGGAGAGACTGATTTCCAAGAATCTTTCAGAAACTGTCATTTAAAAGATTTTGTACATTCACATCTATCTATCTGTCTGTCTGTCAACACTCATATATATACACACATATAGACACACATATACACTTTTAGTTCTTATAGTTTAGAGTTGCAAACTTTTTGTTCATGTGTCTGAACATATTTTGAAAATTGAATTCATTTGCTTATTTATTCATCTCAAAAGGAGGGAAATGTATGTCAACAGTTGAAATCAGGAATGTTTTAATTACTAAATTAATAAAATAACAATAGATAACACTTATATAGCACTTGAAGGTTTACAAAGTGCATTACATATACTATCTTATTATATCTCACGACAACACTTTCAGGTAGCTGCTGTTATCATCCTCATTTTACAGATGAAGAACTTGGGCCCAAAGAACTTAAATACCTTGCCCAGGATCAAACAGCTAGTAAGTATCTGAGGCAGGATTTGAACTCAGGACTTCCTGACTCCAAGTGCAGCACTCTACCAACCATGCCCCCTAACCAACTCATGAACTAGAATATTCTAATAAGTTTGAGAATAACCTCAAAAAGGGGGGGGATAAAATATCATCATATGAGTCATTTAATCTCTATATTCCTTAGGCAAAACTCTAGGACAAAAGTGATGAGTCATTGGCAGGTTGTGATTTGCTATGGAGGGACTTGTTGGGGATTTCCCCACCAATGGCCAATAAAATCTATTTCTATTACAAAACACTTTACATACATTATTTCATGTGACCCTTATGACTATTCTTGGATGTAAGCAAGGTAGGTAGTATGAATTTAATTTTGCAGAAAAAAAAACCCGACAGAGAAGTAAGTTGCAGAGTGGAGAGCTGAATCCAGGGTTTCTACCTGTGGAGTTAGATGTTCCCATTACAGCACACTACTACTCAAATGCTAGAAGTAATATTCTCTCTTTCTCCCTCTCTCTGTCTGTCTCTCTCTCCCTCCTTCCCTATCAACAAGAAGACATGGAAAAATCCCTGTATTATTGCATACCCTCCCTCAAGTACCATTTTAGAACAACTATAGTACAAGGATGCCAGACCAACGCTTTTCATTGCTTTGGTCAAGTTACCCTCAACTATTAATTGCCTTAAATCCCATTCACCAGGTAGAGATCCTAGATATGCCGAAATAAGCTGCCAGCTGTTCACACCTATAACAAGTGAATGATGATCACCCCTGTAGGGTTGGTGTTTCCTGTGTAAGAACAAAAAGAGAAAGAGCAGTTTGTTGTGAATCAATTCCACTTAAAAAACAATTATTCATGCTTCTCTGAACTTTGAATAGTCCTAAGTAGTGTTCTCAAAGAAATGTTCTCAGAAAGTATTAAAGATATTGATCTCTTTCCTCAACAGGAAGTACAACTTAACTAAGCAGAAACTTCTCTATCCAGATATGGTAAGAGAAAAAATAGGGTGGCAGCAATTAAGTGATTTAAAAAAAAATAGTTAACAGAAACAGGGAGATAAGGATAAGGAACTAATTTAGGGAGAATAATAAGGAGCTTGGTTTAACAAGGTAGTGAGGCATGTTGGAAAGAATGATGGGTAAGAGCAATAAGGAAAGCTGGGTTCTACTCCTGATTCTGTGGCTAGTTATCTATATGACTTTAGTGAAGCCACTTAAATTATTATGTATCTGGGCCTCCATTTCCCTATCTAGAAAATGAGGAAGGTGAACTAGAAAATTCTTAAAGGTCTCATCCAGCTTAAATATTTGATTTACTAGGCACTATGTGATCATTGGTGGTCTTTACTCTTTAAACTTTTAATTTAAAATTTTAATCTTTAAAAGATCTTTAATCTTTAACAGTTTAATGGAGGGGTGGGGCTGAACCTGAATTGCTAAGGGTGAAGGAATAAATGAGTAGTGAGGAAAGAGAGCTCAAGATCTTGGAGGTGAAACAAGTTCCTCTAGGATAGAAAGGGAAGGAGGAGAGAAACAGAAATTGTGAGATGAATGTGAAGATGTCCACCTTTTTAGTAAGGTGAATGAGATGGAGGTAAGGTGATGAGATGGACGACACCTGGGATGAGTTGGGACCTTGAGAGGTGTAGGAAAAGTTTTAATAGCCGCTGTGAAATGTAACAGAATCAATAATAGATGAATAAAGAGGATATGACTTTCTTTTCCTGAAGACAGCATGCCTCTGTGAGGTAGTGTGGTATAATGGTAATAGGAAGTTAGCCTGAGGGTCAGAAAGATTTGAGTTAAAGTTTCATCTCCAGCTGTGTAACTCTGGTCAAGTCTGGAAAAGTCACTTACTTTACACTGGAAAAGTGTCTTGGGTAACTAAGAGTAGAAGCAGCAGAGCAGGTGCCAATATGCATTTGTAGAGGGGGTTTCCTCAAGGGACTTAGATACATAAATAAAATCACAACTCACAACAAAAAATTTTGTTTTATGTACACATACAAAAATACTTGTGAATTTTAAATTCCATTCATATTCTTAGAGGTGCATCTGTTCTGATTCTAACTTTTGGCCAAGCTGATCAATTAGTTATTAGAGCCCATAGTAGTGGAATTCTAGTGACCAAGGGGAAGCTAGGTGGTGCATTGGATAGAGTGCCGGGCCCAGAGTCAGGCAGAATTGAGTTCAAATTCAGCCTCAGACACTTACTAGGGGTGACCCTGGGCAAGTCACTTAACCCTGTTTGCCTCAGTTCCTCACCTGCAAAACAAGGTACAGAAGGAAATGGCAACCACTCCAATATCTTTACCAAGAAAACCGCAAATGGGGTCACAAAGAATAAGACACAACTGAAATGACTGAGCAATAAAAGTGACCAGGACTGGTTAAGTGCTGATCAGTTCAAGCAACAGCTTTGGTCTTAGTGAGAACAGTTCTATTGCCAAACATATAAGGACAGATAACCTTAGAGACAAGAACTTCTTGATCTTTATTCTATATACCTTCCTCTTTCCTGTACTTCATTTTAAAATCTGTTAGTATTATAGTAATTACTTCATATCTGGTTTGCAGTTGACTTCTACCTATGGTTGATAACTTTTTTTTCCAAAAAAACATTTTAAAAGAAAGAATAAATAAAAATAAATAAATAAAAAGAAAAAAAGAAAAGAAAAAATAAAAGAAAAAGAAGAAATAGAAAAAAAAAA